TTTTGACTGTACTTTTCATGTTTGTATGGCATAAGTGTGTGTACGTGTGTTGTGTGCTGTGTTCTGTGAGTGCACAGAGCAGACTACAGTGTGGCCAGCTTACAATGAGTGACCCTGCAGGAACACTTTCTATGCAGGTATTTTTGTGGGTTGTTGAAGACAGCGTGGCTGTCTGAGGACAACAGGAAGGTCCTGTTTGGAATGGTTTGGCTTCCTCCTACCTCGGCAGGGCAGTTGAAATGGCCTTTTTTGTATCTGTGAAGTTCCCTCCGTCCCCCTATTGAGAACAGAGAATTACATGAAGGTCTCCCTGCTTCTGTGTAAACTACTGAAGTCCCTTTCCTCTGCTCCCCTCCACTTCTGCACCTTCCCAGGTCACATCCATTATTCTGCTTTTTTTCTCCTAAGGCTTCAACTTTGGTGAACTTCACACACAGGCTGAGCTGGTCTCCCCGATCCACGAACTTGTGTGTGCACAGCGCCACCTCATGCACAGGAGGCAGAAGACCCAGGGCAGGGCTCCAGCTTTTTCTTTTTGTGAAGCAGGTCCTGTAGGTGACATTGGGTTACAAGGCAATGGGAGGAAAAATTATTACTGAATTCACAGACTTCCATCATATTCACACCCCTACAACCACAAGTGTCAAAGAAACAGGTGGGGCTCACTGACAGTTCAGTGCCTATTAGGGAACCAAGACATCCTTCACTTAGTACTAGGGTCAGGTACGCTCTCTAGAGCTCCCCACACGTGATCAATCCCAAGTAAAGTGCTTTTTGGTTTTCAAACAAGTACTTTCCTGCAGATTTATGCAGAATTTGCTTTGCATTTCTTGTGGAAAACATCCCTTAGTGAACAAGTTAAAATATTTTAGAGAGGACATTAATGAGAATACTTAGGCTCTGGACATCCAGAGTGATGAAGGTGTGTGTCAAATCTTACAGCCCCAAATAGAGCATGTGGATTTTCCAGGTTCCAAGGTGGACCTCAGCAGGGTTACTACATTTAGTAATAAAATAGATGAGCATCCAGATTCTCTTCCTACTTTCACCAGGAGGCATGTAAGTGCCAGGGGCGCCAGGGGTTGGTCCAATTCTCACGATTAGCTCTCAAAGTTGTGATGGATGCAGGAAGAGCCTGAAGAACTCTAAGGGACAGTCCCTGCCCTCCATTCTCTAGGTCTCCTTCATCCTTCCCCATTGAGTCACTCTGACCATTCCTACTTTTCCCCAGAGAGGTTTCTTGTGTTCCCATTTCTTCTGTGAGCTACTTAGCAACAATCACCAAATTTCAGAGGACTCCACTCTCCTACTCTGACCTGTCTCGATCCAGCACACTTACTAGGTGGATGAAGCCAGTTTGCATCCTGCAGATGCATACACAGCCAGATCTTCATGTGATGGAAGCACCATCCTGCTTTTTTTAGTTCTGGGGCTCAGTCCCCTAGGTGGCCAGGTGTTCTGCTTCAGCTGAACTCTGGCCCTCTCTCCTTCAGCCACGTGCTCAATTTGGGGGCTGTAAGATTTGCTCATGGGCTCAGGCTCCTTTCATTGTTGCTTTAACAGCGGTCACATCTTGTCTTCAGGGACTTAAGTCTCCCTAGTTGACCTGTATACATCACTGTCATGGTGAACATGTGACACTCTCAGGGACTGAGCTTGCACCCATTTATACTGGGAAGCCCCCACCTCCAGCACCTTAGAGTGTGACTGCAACATGAGATGGATCTTTGAAGTGACCAAGCTCATGAAAGGTCACTAGGTCATCAGGGCGGGCTCAGGTTCAGTAGGAGTGGGCCCCTTTAAGATGAGGAAATCAGGACATAGGCATAAGACAACCACGGAGCACACAGGGAGGTGGTGGCCATCTGTACGCCAAGGAGAGACTGCAGAACCCATCCCTGCTGACGACTCGATCACAGAACTGCAGCCTCCACTTGGCCTTTGTACACAAACTGCAGCAGCAGCCCTGCCAAGACGTGCACTTGGCAGCTTGCACAACTACATGGGCCAATTTCTTAGAAATCACTCAATAGACATATATCTTCCTAGTTCAGTTTCACTGAAAAATCCTAATACATCCTCCAAATCGTGACTTGCAGTTACTTGTTTTAAATGCCAAATACAGTACCAGATCCTTAGGCCAGCACTCAACATCCTCCACAATGCAATGTGGCTTATATCACACTCAACTACCTTAGGTGAGCATGTTAGCATGTTCTTATTGAACTTTTTTTTGTTAGATCATCTCTTTTTTTTTTCTTTTCAAAGTTTTATTGATAAACATATAGCAATGAGACAGTTTCAAATCAAATCGAAAGTACAGTTTCAACAAATAATACACTGCATATATTCTTCTTAGTGGTTAATTGCTGTACAAGATGCAGACTTGTGATCCTACTTACAAACACCATTAGAAAAAATCATTCTATTCATTAAGAGAATGCAACTATATATCTATCCCAACCACTTTGAATACACAGATACAAAATGGACATTCATAGTTATACCCCAATTTTTTTTTAACTTCCGTTGTTGAATATTATAGGTGTGTAAACTCAGCAAAATATTCTAAAAGAGTACAGAAGCCCATAATAGCATTGGGTCTTCTGTTTAATTGGCAATGTCAGAAATTATTGACGTGAGTCCCCCACAGCTCAACATAACAACATGGCTTTACTTCCTATATTTCCTCTTCATACTTTTCTACTGGATGGTTAAGACCAAGGTAAAGCAGAACCTATGCAACAAGAGTTGTAGCTTTTTGGTTTGAGAAGGTCAGTGAAATGCCCTCAGGATTTATCCTGAGATCCTGTACCTCAGATTGTAGAACCTTTGTCAGTGCAGCCATGTGGATGAGTCACGGCCATTGCTTGGCCAATGTGCTCTCTGTGAAAGCCTGAGAGAGTGTCTTCTCCTCATGTGACTCTCCTTAGGCACACTCCACGTCATCGATCAATTTCCTCTTTGGCACCATAACCTTCTTGATCAGAAAATCTGGGACACTACCGAGGTACTTGACGTTACAGTACAAGTTCTCATATGTCCTGAGTCTTAATTGACCTTAGAAGGGTAGGGCCAAATTATTGGCTTTCCTTGTAGCCCTCCTTTTTCTCTAATTTTGGTCTGCAAACTTAGGTTGTTAACCATCCAGAAGACAAGCTTATTGTTATTATCAAATGATTTACGTTATCAAGCTTAACCTCACTATTTCACTACATTTCAAACATCTTAGGCATAATAAGGAACAGGTATTTTTCATCAAGTATTGATATGTTGAACCTTAAGTCCCTACATAATATGATAAAGAACATTTAAAAATTAGATTATATTTTAACAATAGGATAAAGAATTCTATGCTTCTCATGTTTGCACATAAGTCCAAAACTCTCACCATATACAACCTTGAAGCAGGACTGTCCCACTAGATCATCTCTTTATTGACATATTTTCTTATGCTCCTTAGCTAGCTGGGCACTAGACAATGCCACTGTTGATGTCATCTATGATGACATCGTGAGGGTGCTGGCTGTCCATGTTGTAGCCCACAGACTGGGTGGTCCCTAGGATCTCCTTAATGGTTCCGGAAAGTTCTCTGGCTAAAGACCGGTGCTGCATCTGTCAGTCAATGTTCACAATCTCATCAAAAGTGCTATTTCCGCTGTGTTTAATGTTTTTCTGCTTCTGTCTCTGGGCGGCTCCTTGAGGGCTTTGATGATCAGGCCAGAGGCAGAAGGCACCACCTCAGTCTGAGCCTGTCTGTTCTGAGTGGTCAGTTTCACTGTAATCCACAGGCCCTTCCAGTCACCAGTTGCCTTGGTGATGTCACCCCCCACTTTTTTTGGGAGACAGACCCAAGGGACCAATCTTGGGGGCCAGGGCGCCGACTTCACCACCAGTGCACCTCAAGTACATGACTTTGATCCCGTTGGGGTCAACCTTGGGCGGCATGCTGGAGGAAGCTGGTATCGGATGTACCTGGATTCAGGATGGCTGAAGAAAGTTGCACCTTAGCCTCTTCCTAGTCGAAAGCCAAAAGCTGAGCTTAGTTTTGAAAAATAAATAATATTCAGCATTTGCTTTTTCTGTGTTCTGAAGCATGGACGACATATGCTTATTTTAGTACCATGTCCTTTTACGCTTAGGGAGCAGCCCCACTGTCTTAACCACTGTTAAGTAACATAATGTTTAACTTTTAAATAAGCACTCATTTTTAGACCTTTTAACTTTCTTCTGAGAAACTGTAGATAACCATTTGCAAGTGCACATGTAACTTGCCTGATCCCTGTGTGCTTACAGTCACAGCAGGTGTGACACAAGAGGTGATGACACAACATAGGCTGGGCCCTGAGAAACTTACCAAACTTCTCTATCACCTACCTAACACACTAGGCATACTACTGCGTATCTTTCAAGCCTTATTACAGAGAATCTCAGGAAGTGCCTCAGAGCCATCCACGGTCACTCACACTTGGCAGGCGTGCCACAGATGTTAAACTTCACTCCCACTCACACCGAGTGGGATGCCGGGGGCTTTCAGGCAGTCTCTCCATCTGCACCCCAGCTTGATCACCAATTCTTTTGTAAAATTCTTTTACCAATTCTTTATTACCTGGTCCGAATTACTATATCTTGGGTAGTGTTTGAAATTCTTCCAATTTTTAACAGATTGACAATTAATGTTTTATTACTTACCTTCCTATAGCATCAGCAGAAGTTCTTATACTAATTCCACTCTAAAGAGGTACATCTTCTAAAAACACTGGGGCTAAATCTCACACCTCCCAATGTTTCAGTGCACATGTAAACCAAACCACATTTTAAATTCGTCCTTATAATTTTTATTGCAGTATTCAATTCCCGTGACTTCCAGGGTAACCTGGCTTATTAAGTACTAATCTAATCATCTTTATTAACACATTTTTCCTTCTGATATATGAAAGAATCATCACAAATCATTGTCACAATCTTCAAGAATTGATCAAAGCCATGGAACAAACAGACCAGCTATAAAAAGTTTATTAAAAAAATAGATAACGTATGTAAACATCTTTCTCACAGACTTCATAATACAGCACATGAGGCCCATACCTCCAGTCTCTGCAGGGAAGCACCTTAACTGTTTAAGAACAGCAATCAGCTTCACTGAGCTTTTGGTGATCTATTAAGTCTCTATGAAAATAAAAAAACAGACTCTACCAAGTGGGCTAACACACATAAAAAATCACAAGTGTCCAAGTATCACAGCAATCAATGACTATCTGCACTGCCATGTGGGAGTGAATCTTCATGTAGCAATTAGCTAAGTAACAAAGCTTCATTTCTAACCTCATCATCATCATGACCTAGAGGTGGGACTGAGCGGAGGGACAGGAGAGACAGGCATCATGTCCACCTACACTTATGTGTCTCACACATCCAAACTTCACGTGCACACCCATCGTAGCCCTATTCTTAACATACATACACATACACAACCTGACACTACTCACACCCACCATACACACATACACACATACACACGATTTCTTAGCAGGAACAGACCTAAGGATAGATTTCACACCTTTCTCTTGTACATGATTATTTGGGGGCATGAATCTATTTTATTTTTAGCTGGAAGCTCCTCCAAATGACTTTGTAAAAAGCAACCAAACAGATGTCTATATGATGAAGTTTGGGGGAGACAAAATTATTATTATATAATTTAATAACAACTCAAAATGAAGCCAAATTATAGAACAAACAATAATGCCACAAAACAAGATAAGTATTCAAGTCTTTGCTGCAAGAATCTGAAATGCAGGGTTGTTTCCTCGTGGCTTCTGTGCTGAGTGTAGTCCCTACAGGCCCAAGGACACTTTGATGTGGTGACTAAAATATGCTGACATTTGATTTAAATCACCTTACATTTCTGCAGGTGTGCAAACCCTAACCAAGTTATAATTTTAAGTGAAATAGCAAAAACTGTCATTTAGCTCTTCACTGCATGGAACATTTTAAATATTTATGGTTTGCATTTGGAATAACCATAACGTAGTGACAGACAGGAAAAAGAGCAGATAAGAACCCCAGGCACAGTCCCCATGCTCTGGCAGAACATTTCCTGTCCCAATGATACAGCAGTCTATCTGTATGATTATAAAAGTGACCCATAACTACCTTGAACTCATTTAAAATTCCCATTGGTATTCTAAGACACATTTTACAAACTTTCTGGAAATAATTTGGAAAAAAAATATTAGATTTTTTTTCTAATAGATTAGAAAAAACAGATTATTTCCAACATAACTGCTTATTGCAATAGATGCCTACCTTAACAAATGAAATGTAAACTAATAACATATAGAATTTAAATTCTAACAATTGTAATTCCTTGAGTTGGCAGTGTTAGTCTTTGTATCAGAATAACTATGTACACAAATAAAAAGAAGAGTAAGATGACGTGACGTGAACGCTTATAATCTAAGGTATATGTGGACACAGGCACATGTTGTTATACACGAGATGCGTAAGATACAGCACATGAAGGCGTTTGCATATCCACGCCAAGTCAGCAGAAGCTTTTCTGCAGGAACACCGGTGTCCTGAGGCTCACTGTGGGGACGCTGCAGTCTTGGCTGCTGTCGACTGCTGATCTCTAGCATCCATTTTAGAGTTATAATGGACAAAATATTTAGCAGTTACAATCAGCAAAACTTTCATCAGTTACCTTCAGTAGACTTTCTCAAAGTGAAATTATGTTGTACAAGCGAGGTGAGCGCTGGACATATTAATGCATCAGAAGTCTATGGTGGAGGAGTTTTAGATTAAATAGGACTCTGTATCTATTCTAATCAACAGCTTTTAAAAATAAATATAAGGTATCTTTTCTTACATCACATTATCATGGACAAGAAACCAATAGCAGTTTCTTGACTTTCTGTTGCATAAATTAAAAAGAAGAGACAAGTTGAAGGAAAAAGAGAAGGAGCTAGGCAAGCAAGACAAGACAGTCTTCAAAATTTCACTGTGTGCTCATGGGGTGTGGGGGTGGGGAGAAGGTATGAAAACTAACCAGGCCTTACGACAATGCTTAAAAGGGCACTGAAATGTGTTACGTACATGCACCAACCCGCTATGGTGAATATAATCATTATGTACTACAAACATGTAGCAATAAAAGTTAAAGATCAAAAATATTGCTCCAGGGGCTTTCACCCAGCATAGTTTTACCTGTGGCACAGTTCTTTTATTTTATTTTATTTTTTTTGTATTTGATACAGGGTCTCATGACGCAGCTTCAACTCGTAGTGATCCTCCTGTGGCACTGTTTTTGGTTTACACTTCTATGTATTTCAGTTTTGGTGGAGTTTTTTGGTACTGAGAATCAAACCCAGGACCTTGCACTTGCCAGGCAGGTGTTTATGCCGCTGAGCTATCTCCCTGGCCCCTTTCTGAGCATTTCGAATTACTGGATAGGAGCCAAGGGACAGGATATGGCAGCTAACAGCAGTCACCAGCCCCTCCAGAGTTGGAGTCTAGTCCTAATGGAGTCACTGAGCGGCAACTTTTCAACACTCAGCAAGAGAACACACCTTGAAGGCACTAATGCTATGTGTATTTGTTCACCTGGAACAGCACTGCCTCAACAGCAAAGGGACTTAAGTTGGAAACTCTTTCTCCAGGGCATAGCTGGACGGCTGGTGAGCCGGGCTCCTCATCCTGCACAGAGGCCCAGTACAGTCTTTGCTTTGCCCATCCACATGAGCACCTGGTGAGGAAGGCACCTGGGCACCCAGGACACAGGCAGAGGCTGGCCCTGTGTGGGCCCCATCACAGGCAGCCCGGGCAGGCTGGGACTGTGCCCTGCGTGGGACGGCCCTTGGCACATCTGACGGACTTCTCAGGGATATCAGGCCAGGCTGCAGCAGGACTGTGACAGCCCCATTCAGTTCAGCAGAGACCTGGCTCGGCAGGTCACCATGAAGGCCAGGTGAGGCAGGAGGTGGCAGTGCAGAGGCTCCAGGGACACCTACCAGGAAAGAGCCACAATAGGACAATGCACAATTAGAAGGACAATGACTTCTGAAACAATGAACCTCAGGAAGAACCACTGGGGTGGCACCTCAAGTGATGACTGCTTTAAAGTGAGCCTCAGCAAGAGAGTGCTGATGCCTGTTTCTGCCTGCAGCTCGGCCGAAAGTCTTCTTCAGAGGAAAAGGAAGGCCAGGCCGGAGGCGTCTCAAGCCACGGGGGCTGATCTGTCAGTGGAGCCAGACAACCTCAGAGAGTGTAGGCTCATAAGCATTACAATGTTTCGTAAGCAGGACAGATTTCAAAAATGAATAAATTCAGGACTTTTGGAAATGATTGTTCACATTATTAAACTTCACTCGAGATCAGGATTTGAAAAGAACTGATGAGAAAAGTGTTTTTACATGCCACCTCTTCTCTTGTTTACACAGAAGAGTTGACTTAGCGCACCCCAGCGGGTAATTACCTAGTCATAGACAAAAAGAACGCTGTTTATGGGATCACTGTGCTATAGGATTTCTCCTTATGCAATTACAAATGACGGAAACTCTACTGACCTGACAAAGGGCAACAAACAAAATCAAAATACAATGAATACTAATATAGCATTCAGAAATAAAGCAGAATAGACAACAATAAGAGAAGTTTTGGCCTTAATAAAGCTTTATAATCAACCTTAACATTTTCAATTCATGTATAGAAGGCATTTTTCATGTATCTTACCTCATTTAATGCTCATGAAAAGCCTATGAGGTTACTGTAATTATCTTCATATGGAAAAGAAATGTTAAACCTTATATAGCTGAGCGTGCCACTTGATTTTTGTCACAAGTCTACAAAGAGCAGAGATTAGCTAAGCACATTACCAGATATGCATAATAGGATTATCATCCCAGTTTTACAGGGTACACTGACACAGAATTGGAAGAGATTGCTCAAGGTCACACAGCAAAGCTGAGCTCAGACAGCTTCCCTGCCATTACCTGTGACCTTCTGATGACCTTAAAAGCATTCAAATGAGGAAGCAGGATACATAATTCCCCAGGATTACCTGCTCACCAGATGAACAACTGAAACCTAAACCTTGGCCCTGTCTCGGCAAATGAACTGCTCCTCTTAAGCAGCCCTCGTCTCTCCAAAGGTCAGATGAAAGAGCCACATAAAATCCAGACATGTCTGGACGACAACCCCTCTGCGTACAACAACATGATCCAGTCACATGAATACTCACTGACCTTTAGGACTGGAAAGAAGACTGCTCCCCCATAACAGAGGGGCAGCTCCTAGGCACAAATCCTGCCCCACTGCTTACTAACCGTGGGATCCTGGATAAGTCACCAATTTTTCATGAGTTCTAATTAAGCTTTTGTACCAGGAGTATGCAGCAGAATGCAGTCTCCACAAAGACAAAGAAAGACCATTCACAGGAGAGTGCTTTCATCATCCGCATTACCAGTGAGCAGACACGGCACTCGAGCCGTGATCAAGGAACTAGAAAGACCTCTAAGAACATCTCGCTTGTTCTCCTTTCCGAGCTTCCACACCTGCGCACAAAGCTCCTGGGACTGCATGGGGTGCTATGCCGCAGAAAGGTGACTCCTGCTGCCCTGGGCTGACCTGTGCTCCTGAGTCCACACACTGGACCCTGACCCCTGGCACCTCAGAATGCGACCATCAGATGGTACGGATCCTGACAGATGTGGTGAAACTAAAACAGAGTTATTGGGTGGTCCTAACCTGGGGTGACTAGGGTCCTTCTGAGAAGAGGGGATTAGGACACACAGAGAAAGAGAATCACCAGGACATGCACAGGCCTCACAGGGAAGCAGCCCTGCCGGCAACTCAACTTTGCACTTCTAGCATCTAGGGCTGTGAGCAAACAGTTTTGTTGCTTCAGCTGCCTTGTGCCCCACCCCAGCACACTGAGATGCTTCCTAACCTCCCTCCAGGCATCAGGAGCTGAGGGGTCGAGAGGAAGGGCAGGCCAACTTGAGGCCCAACCCTCCCACTGTCAGTTGAATATGGACAGATGACTTGTGTTTTCTGCGACCAAGGGTCAGGCCAGTTATTCTCCACACGCTCTTCTTCCTTACTGTGCTATTATGCATCAAAGTTACTGACATTTCATTACACTTTTCCCAGAATCTGAGTTATAATTAATTTAAAATCAAAGAAAAGAAAAATATAAAAGTCAAAGGCCCATGTGAACAGGAATAAGTTATGAAATATAAACACTCGGGAAGGGCCACAGCCCGATCTCCACAGTGGCAGTCTGCACTTCCCCCACTAGGTACTAACGTAACCTACGTGCGGTCAGAGGAGGGTTTCCCACTGATGAGGACTGTCTGCGATGAGAGGCTCGATCTTTGGGGAAAGCATCAGAAGGCACATTCCCATCAGGCGTCTGCCCCAGGTGGGCGGGAGATGGGCTTTCCCACACTCCGCCATCAGTCCCAAGTCTTGGCTCCAGGGCCAGCTCTCGGGTGCTTTCTGGACAAGTCGCACAGAAGTTCAGGGTGGGCATCTCAGGGTCACGAGGAATCTGGGTGCTGCCCATGGGTGCCTGGTCCCCATTTGTTTGTGGCAAGCACCTCCTAGAGAGAAGGCTTGTGGGGCTGCTGGGGTCCCTGTCTATAGACGGCAGCACAGGGGATGGCTGGGAGGCCTGCTGGGGGACCCCATCTTGAATCTTTGTGTCCCCCTTGGGTGGCAGCTCTTCCACAGCCTCTGCTCTGCCAAGTCCCCTGATGTCAAGTCCCAATGCCACCGACGCCAGCAGCACCGCACACCCATAGAGCGCTGACTCCGTTTTCTTCCTGTGGGGTCCACTGGGGCTGGTTGCAGGCAGCCCCCGAGGAGGCCCCACAGCAGAGCTCGGTGTGGGCCCCTCCTGCTGGTCGTCAGCCTCCCCCAGGTTCTGCCTCTGATCATCTTTGCAGAGAGGTAGATCAGTGTAGGCCTGACCAGGCAACTTCATTTGCTTTGGTTTTCTGTGTTCTCCATCAGCCGGGTGTTCTGGCTCTTCACTGGGTCCTAGACAAAGGTACAGAAACAAGCACTGTGGTCTCATTTTTGTTTTAAAAAATCACTTAAAATATATTATAAAATAAAGCTGAAGTCTCATGAATATTCTAAATCAAAGCATGTAGAATCCCTTCAGCTTGGCAAATGGTTCATCCCGGAAGACTAAGGACCAAGCCTCCGAGACCCTACATCTCGGCTCCTCGCAGACGGACCAGTGAAGAAACCAGGTGTCTCCTTCCCTCCAAGAACCTGCTCCTCACAGCAGCAGTAACAGAAGCAACTGGGAACAGAGTCATCGACATATAAAATTGTACACAAAACACTCACAAATACTAAATATGTCACACAGAATAAATCCAAGGCACACGTCTCAATAAAACATTTTGAACTTAATTCCATCACGGCACCAAATGATCATCTTAAACTGTCCAACATGGAGACCAGTTGTGCTTCTTTGTTAACAGCCGCCCTGAAGCTTTCCCAATAACTCCCACGTCTTTGACCTCAGGCCACCAAACAGCAGCGCTGCAAGACTCCAGCTGCTCTTGGCAGGGCGCTCAGGGAGAGCGTTTCCACATCTGCTGTCCCCTGTACTAAATTTACATGTGTCTACATAATTAAGGCTGGCACTACCTGTTAAAAATCAGAAATTACACATTCCCAAAAGACCACACGGAGCCTAATAGTCCCTTTCTGCCATTAAAGACTGAATGGAACACAACTTTCGGGCTTACACAGAGCTGTCAGGATCCTCGAACCAGAGGTTTCCTGCCCTGAAGGGGTCACCTGAGCCCATGGCATCACACCTGCGGGCATGCAGACGTGAACACCAGCACACTCCAGCTCCCGATGCCCATTTACCTGGCTGGTCCACAAAGAGAGAAGCTAGGGGCGTGGTTTTCTGGCTTTTTATTAGGACAGATGACCAAGGGCTGTTGCCATCAGAGAGCGGCCTCACCCTGCAAGAGGAAGATGTTTCTCTTCTTAAAACACAACCACATTTCTTACAAATTAGGCGTCGGTGGTCACAAGTCAAAAACATTCTTAAAGGTATGAAAAGAAGACATTCGTACTGTTGAGGTTTGAAGAGCCAACAAAGTACAAATAAAACTTTAAGACAAGGCAATAGCATGCGAGAGAAACTGTTTACTTAACTAAACAGTCATTTAATACAGTTACTACCATAGATTCATCTGAGGAAATTAAAGTGATGGTCAGCTGTCGCTGTACCAGTCAAGAAGTCCGGCCAGTATGACAGGAGGCCAGGTACCATGTGGTCACCACAGTGGACCGGGGACTCCTCTGGTCCTTACCCGTACCTCTCTCTGCCATCGGTTCTTTCTTTCATTGGGATCGAGCTTGGCCCCCACGTACAACCTTTTTTCTTGAAATTCCTTTTTACATCTTCAAATTCTTCCTGTCGAAAGGCCATGTTCCTTCCCCAGGTTTTATTGTTTTCATCAGATGTCACTGGGCGGAAAACACAGTAGTCAGCCAACACCAGCACAGTTGAGCAGGGGACACCAGGGGCGAGGAGGGTGCACGCCCCTACCCTGGGAAGCTGAGTTCAAGGCCTGCCTGGGCAACTTTGTGCCTTAGCAAGACCCTGTCTCAAATATAAAAGAATAAAAGGAGGGGTGTGCTGATATGAAGTCATTTTAATCCCCAGCCCCACAAAAACCTAAAATGACATCAACGGTGTTGGCCTGAGGCTACCTGCCTAGAAATGTGAAAACAGTAAAGAACTGATGCCTTTCTTCTATCCTTGGAAAAAACGATTTTTTTCTGATGATAAAAACAAGAAAAGTAGAAGGAATTAAAAAATACAAATTTATAAAAAATTAGTGACAAAGGATCAATTATTTACCTATGTACCATTCTTTTACAGGAAAATATTTTCAGGATAATTGGGGGAAAAGGAGCCAAACTCAGTAATGAACTTAATATTCTGCTTAGCCACGCCAGTTTGAGCTTAGGCTGAAGGCATGGTTACACTCTTAAGGCTGTCAAGGAACTAAATTTTTGTTAGGTGCTCCATCATCACAGTTTCACTAAAAATCTAAAAATATCTAAGGCTCTAGCGTCTGCCTTTTGTGCCTACCTCATGAGTTATTCCCATGTCTGGAGTCCACACTTTGGGAGCACACGTGCAGTCCCTCCAAAGTAACAGGAAAAATGACAGTGACCATAACTGTCCACATACTCAGAGTGCCTCCAGCATGCCAGGCACCATTCTGAACACTCTAGAACATTCCATGCAATTCTGAGCCAACGCCGAGAAATGGCGTCAGAGGTGTGACAAGGCTAAGGACTTGTTCCAAGTCATAGGGGCAGCCAGAGTGGCAGTCAACCTCTAGCAGCACACTCCAGAGTCCGTGCTCACCTGCCCTCTATCCTGGCTACCATGACAACAACAGGACCCCTGTGAAGCCATGGCTGGGGGTCACTCAGGGCAGGATGAAGATGCTCAGGGTTAGGTGAAGGAACCTCGGCCCCTAGCCCTGTGTGCAGTGCCGGTCCTTATGCGTGCGCAGGGAGAATGTGTTCGCCGTTACTTAGCAGAGTGAGAACCAGGATGCTCCTCTCTGAGCTTCCCTTCAGGATGGGAAGTGATTTATCTGATTCCCCAAAGTATGTGCTGCAGCCTGAGCAAGTCTTGGGACAGTCAGGCACGCCTGGTGCCACTCGTTCACTTCTGTGGGGCTGCACTTCCCAAAGGCAGAGAGTACCTCAGAGAAAGACGCCAGGTTAAGGAGGAGCGGATCGTGCCCTGTCTGCTCCCCCCAGGTTGGTCCTGGTGCCGCCCCCTTCCTTTGTAGGCCCTCAGTCTGCTGAGGCAAAGGCAAGGCACAGAAGTGAAAAATGAACTGTGGGGAGACTGTGCCTGGGAGCTTGAAAAAATAAAGACTCAGCTGGTGCCAAGGTTTTCATTACCAAAAAACACAAACCAAAACAAAACAAAAAACAAAGGAAAAGAAAGAGAGAAGAAAAGCCAGATGTGGTGGTGCATACCCACAATCCCTGCAGTCTGGGTGGCTGAGGCAGGCGGATTGTCCTGTCTGAGCCCAATCTGGGCAATTTAGCAGCCTCATTAACAAAAACAGGCTAGGGCCCCGGAATATAGCTCAGTGCAAAGGCCTTGGGTTCAATCCTCAGTATCGCTGATTCAGTGCACAAAATTTTTTATTCTCCTGATAAGGATGATAAGCAGTTTGGTGGAGAAAGGTGAGGACTTGAATGATCTAATGTAGTAATTTAAATGAGAATGATTAATTACATTCTTTTTTTTTTTTGCTTAGTCTTCTTTAGTGTTTTACACTAAACCTAACCTTGGAAAAAATCAATAATTTTATTTCATCCTACACTTTGATTTGGGATCTAACTGAATCTTAGCCATGCAAGCTGCCCATACAGGAGCTGCGTACCTGTCTCCACCAGGCAAACACCCTCCCTGAAACCAAAATATGACATAATGTTTTGAAGCATTAGTTTGGTAACATATAAAGTAGACTAGTTGAGTATCAACAAGTAAAGCATGTTTTCCCCTCACAAAACAAGGTACCTAAATGGAAGTAATCCTGAATTTCTCATGTCACCTTTCAAAATGCCTATCCATAAGGGGCTTACAGGACAATCCACTTAGTAATTCTGCAGGCAAGCAGTTAGCAGAATGTCTCCGAATCCATCCTTCGCCCACCATCCAAGCTGTGAGGGCACCCCGTGCACAGACACTAAGGGTCATGTGTGGACGTGAGCACAAGAAAATTGGCCTCAGGATCCCAAATGTTCCTTTCCAAATACCAGCTGCACCCGTTAAGTGTCGCCTACTCATGTAAAGCCTATTATGGAAACAGGCCTCTCAGTTGGAATTCAAGGCCAGAAAATGAGCCAAGCCCAACGAGGACTCACACTGAATGGCCCGGAGGCGAGGGAGCATGGTGGGGCTGCTGGGCGGGCTAGAGCTCCTGCTGTCCCAGCTCCTGCGCCGGTCCACACTGGGGGAGGCCTGCACGGTGATCTTGTGCTGGAAGTCTGTGGAATACAGCAAGAAGAGGGGCAGCAATGTGTCACACGGCCTCAGGGGAGTCCACCACCAGGGGCCATTGCCGTGTACACAGCAACAAAAGCAAATCCTGCCGGAAGTAGCTAGAATACGTATTTCAGAGTCAGTTTCTGACTTCAGTTTCTTATTTACCTTCAATTCGGGATCCAAGGCAAGAGATAGTAAGTTAGAGGGAACCGTTAGGTACAATGAGACTCACATATGCAGAACTATGAAATCTTTCCGATTTCAAGTAGAATTTACAGTCTTCTGGGATCAGTTAGCAGAATTAAAACAGGAGGCCCTGAGCCCATCCATGAAGACCTATGGCCCTGACGCTCCTAAGGCAGTGTGCTGAGCTGCCACACTCCAGCTACATGGACCAACAACCGTTCATGGGGCCACAGGAGTAGGACAGAAAATGTACATTCAAGGTATCTGGTAGCCAACACATTCAATAAATGAGGGCTATGAGGAACAACCAAACAATATGGAAAAAGTTCAAATGAAAAATAATTATTATAGTAAAAGATACATTGTCATCAATCCCCTGAAATACTCCCTTTCACTTCAGATACTTATCCCAGCATTCTTGACACTTCTGGAAGAAATTCTGGAACTCTTCTTTCTGGAATATCTTCCTCAGGTATAACAAAAAAAAAAAAAAAAAACAGCAGCGTGTGTGCTGCTGAATGCCAGCCGGTAGAAAGGCAGGCTTATAAAAATATAATGGTCTGTCTTCCTCCTCCTCCACTTTATTCTCGGGGTCTGGCACTGGATGACTTCTAGCACTTTCCCACAGTCAAAAAGATCATGCAACATACATGTTTTGAGTTGATTCAGAGCATTAGGGCATCACAGAACACAAGTAAAGACCCTCCTGAAAGAGGACTTTCCCAACTGCCCCAGCAAGTGCTAAGAATGATGGGAGAAATGCATCTGAAAAGAGGCAGAGTATTTCAAAGGGGGCTAATAGCAAAGTCTCTTTACTGTAATATATTTTTAAAATTTAAATATTTACTGTATTTTTTTAAGCACATATAGTAACCTAACTGGAACATGACAGAGCTAAGCCATGACCCCAGGGACACATGAAAGAGAGAGGAACATTGCCAGAAGGGAGGAAGGTATCTTTAAGTGGTCAGGAAAATTAATGGAAATCTGGACATGGGTAAAAGAACTCACCAGGTTTCCTGTAGTACAGCCTGGGCTTCAACTGACTGATTTCCTATTAACTGGACTATGTGTACAATTCAGAAGGGGCAGGGGTTAATTTGATGATTTTGTCTGGTAATGTAAATTATTTCTGTCTGGTAAAAAGACATTCCCATAAATTATGATTTATTGCTGTTTGGGCAATAACTTGGTTTATTTTTAACCTTATAATCTAATCCTGACATTCCTTTACCAAACTGCCCATAAAGACCTGACTTTTTAACTTATCATTTAAACTAGTTCTATCCAGTTATTTATCACTAGCTAATGAGTTGAGTAAAATTTTTGAGACATGTTTACTTCAGGTTTCCAAGAGAGTTATAATTTACCTGTTTTGGAGATTATACGTTAAGGACCTTAATTGAACCCTCTAGTCTGAGATGAAGAAGAGAAAGAATTTGGCAGGCAAGACATCTGTGCAATAATTCTTGCTAGAAACCTGAACAAAAACTTCAATACTATTTTCTCCCTAGTTTCACATGTTCATGAAAAAAATTATCTTATAAATTCAGTGTTATATACTCTTCTAGAAGTGAAGGTGACATTTTAGATATCAGCAAACTTGGATCTGAATCTCAGTTACTAGCCATGTGAATTTTGGAAAATAATCTCAGCACATACACCTACAAAATAGAAAAATGCCATTATTCCTATTTTATAAAACTGCTATGGAAATTTAAAACAGGGATAAAATGTACTTAGCACAGGGCTTAGGCTATCGTGAGTAATCATGTACGTCAGAATTCTGTCTGTTCTGAGCCTCTCAGCTCTGGCCACCACAATACCACATCCCCGTTCACAGTCACCTTCAGCCTTTAAGCCTGCCTTTTTTTCTTTACTGTATTTAGTACAAGATCTACAGGGTCTCACTATGCAGATTGGACTCGTAGTGATTCTTCCATTTTCAGCCTCACAAGTGCTGGGATTACAGGCGTGCATCACCACACCAAGTCTCATTAGTCATCTCAGCGCACCCCGGGGGCAGGGCCTGCACGGCATGCTGGGGATCAAACCCCAGCCACTGCACCCTGCCTAAGCAAGCACTTTGGTTTGCTGAGCTCTCTGGCCGACCCTAGGCTGCTTTTTGGTTGTCACATGCATTTTCTAAGGTGCATGACAGCCATGGCAGCCACCCACCTAAAGCCCTTCAAGAGCACCTCATGACACCTGCAATTCCAGAAGTCTGGGAAACTGAGGCAGGCGGATCACCAAATTTGGGTCCAGCTTGGGCAATGTAACAATTTAGAGAGATGCTACCCCGGCATGAAAAAGAAAAATGGCTGGGGATTATCTCAATACAGTGACCCTGGGTTGAATCTCAGGAAAAGAAAGAAAGAAAGAAAGAAAGAAAGAAAGCCAGCCAGCCAGCCTCTCATGATTCCTAAGCTACATATTAGAAGGGCAGCAAAGCCTAGGAAGCCGGCAGGCTCTCGAGTCTGGGTCCTTCTTGCGGCTCCGACCCCCGGCTACAGATTCCTGTCTCATGCCATGCTGCTCCAGGGGTCCACAGGCCTGTGAGCTACGGACGGAGCCCAGGTCCCATGCGTGCCTGGAAAGCGCCCCTCCCCCCCCAGCCTATACCGCTGTATTTTAGGCTCTGCCAGTCACTGGATCTTTGCTGAAACTACCCAGCCCAGTGAAGCAGCAAGAAGGCAGCTCAGGTAATACATCAACACCGGTGTGCCAGGACAGCTTCACGGACAGCCAAACTTAAGAGTTCATATATTATCAGGTACCACAAGATGTGCTGCTTTAATTTTTTTTTTTTCAAGCCTTTGAAAATCCAGTCCACGCTGAGCTCCCAGGCTGTGAAAAGCAGGCATGGGCTGACAGTGACGGGTGCACGGGCTGCACTCTGAAGACTCTGCGTGACCCATTATCGGTCCCTTTTAGTTCTTGCAAGAGACTGAGCTCCTTCGCACATGCTCTGCTTTCTTCCTTCCCCTTGTGTTTGGTAAATTTTTACACTGTCATAATTTACATGTCACTTCTTTAAAAACCTACCATTATCTCCACTCCCCATGGTCCTATGACTCGTCCTATATAGCAGTTGATAACTATCGCAAGTAAATAAGCATCTGTTTAATGACCAGCAAAGGACTGACTCTCTCAATACCACAAAAGTCTGTGCGGCAGAGACCCCTCCTGTGTCTGGCCCAGCTAGGCTGCTCTCCAGAGGGGTTGGGGCCTTGCACGTAACAGGTGATCCAAGAACTCTGAACCTTGAGTATTTTCTCTGTTGTAACTACAAATAAGTCCAGAAACCCCATTTATCACAATTCTTGTTTGGTACAGGGCAGATCTGCAAGTGTTTGTTGTGTGGAAAAGTTATGTAAAGTTTATCAACAGGACTGAATCGACACTTAAAATTAACTGTAAGACATACATGGAAGGGTAGAGGAGGTCTGGGAGACAAAGCAGAGGAAACAAAGGACCAGACAGGAGCCTGCCTCCCTTCATGCTATGGAGTTAGATCTTAGGAAGGAATTGAGCAGGAAGAGCCATCTAAGTGAAGCAAAGAACAGATACAGGGAAACAGTTCAGCAGGATGAAGGGCAGATTGGATTTGGCACAACAATGGTAAAAGGGATAAGCAGTCACACACAAGCAGTTTGGATTGAAGGCATTCTACAAAGGTTCTGGTGGGCCTTAAACTGTCACCCACTAAGGGGGCAACCCTCCGTGGGCTTAGAGTGGGCCTGGAGCCACAGCATTTAAGGACAGGTTACATGGGACACATGTGGGGCCAGCGACAATAGACAGAGGTTAAGGGGACTGCGCCCCAGTGAGCAGCAGGGGCAAGCCTGGAGGTACCAACGCCAGAGTCAGCAAGCTTCTGGAAACCTCTGATGTGAGTGCTTAAAACCTAAGTGCTCTTTAGGGTTCAAACATACAGATTTTATTGTAAACATCCTTGTCCTTGGAGCAGGGTGGGGCAGGATCACCTGGATGACTCTCCTTGAAAGAAGAGCGACTGGATCCATTTTGGCTAAACCTGGCCCTGTTTCCATGTACTGGTGTGTGCAGAGCTGGCCAAGGTTTCTTTATCCCTTCATCTGGCTGTAAGGGATAAAGATGGGTCAATGCAGATGGGTCTAGGCGAGGTGCAGATGTGAAGTCCTTAAACCAACGCCGCAGGTCGGCGAAGCCCCACCTATACCGCCCCTAGTGGTCAGTGTGAGCTAGGCCCCCTGAGAATGCTGAGCTTGAACCTCCAGAAAAGGGGCTATGACTTCTCGGGGCTTGAAGATTACACCTCAGAACTGAAGCCCGGACCCCTAAAATACTAGATGCTGCCCCAATCTGATGGACAGATTATTCTTTTTGCATCTTCCTCCCCCCCGCGTATTGCATTCAGGTCTCCTACTTAGCCCAGCTCACCGTGCTCAGTACTTCTCGGCACTGGCCACTCACACAGTCACTCATCCCCAAGCCACGACCTCTTCATGAATTCATAAAATCCAGGTCCGGCCCTGGGTGAGGTCTTGGTTCCATTGAGCCATTACTCTGGCTGGACCTAGGACCCCCGAGGCTCCTGATCTGTTAGAGATTTTTGTCTTTCTTTGCACCACGGTTGCACTGGAAGTAGTGGATTGAATTTAATTCACTAGAATTCCAATAATTTTCCCTCAGGATTACAAATAAAAGCTTCACTGAACCACGACAAGATCTGAGAAGGGCTTTCTACACAGGGCGAAGCAGAGTCTGTGCCAGTTAGATGTTTGGAAAATTTACAATCGAATGGTTCGGCGCCGGTGGCAGCTGTTCAGTTTCT